GTGCCACAGGGACACCGCGTCTCTCCGAGTAGAACAAAAGGACCAAACATAGATTTCGGAGTTTGTTGCCATGGATGCAACATACGTCCTGTGAATGATAGTGTTTACAGTAGTTTGAATGACGCTTGTAATGAATCACTTTCTTTAAAGGGTTAGTTTACCCCAAAATGAAAATTCTGTCATTAATTACTCACCCTCATGTCGTTCCAAACCCGTAAGACCTCCGTTCATCTTCGGAACACAAATTAAGATATTTTTGATGGAATCTGAGAGCTCTCTGTCCCTCCATAGACAGCAACGCAACTGAAATGTTCCCAGGTCCAGAAACGTAGCAAGGACATCGGTAAAACAGTTCATGTGACATCAGTGGCTCAACTTCAATTTTGCGAAGCTGCAAGAATACTTTTTGTGCGCAAACAAAACAAAAATGACGACTTTATTCAACAATTCTTCTCCCCTGAGTAACTGTCTTCCGCCATTTTAGAGAGTATCACAACGCATACGCACGCCTTTAATTCACCTTCTATGAAGCATCTGCTAGGAATCGTTTGCTGTGAATCACTTCTGTCCACCGTTTCTTTAGAATCATTTGGTCGACATATTCTTTGTAGGCTTGTCTGTTCCTGCATGGATTAATAAATCAGCGGCCCCACAGATAGAAAGCAAGAAAGAAACCGAGAAGACCAGCATCTCAAGACAAGAGAAGGCCATAAAAGGCGAACCAGTGAAATTCTGGTAAGATTTCCTTATTCTGAATCATATTTGCACTGCAAAAGAATTTAAATAACAAATATAGCATGAAAGTTAGGTTTACACTAGCCTCAAGACAGCATGGCCATGGATCATCCACTGTCTGTTCAATGACCGCTTGTTGCATATTGCATGCAAAAACTGCAAGTGGAATAATTCATTTCAGATAAACTTGTCTAAACAACATGTAAAAAAAAAAAACTGTGATTGATGGATTGATTTTTAATGTCAGTCAAATGATCTCCTGCTTACTAATTGGGCAGTTCTTGGTCAGACAAAGCTGCAGTGAGGACAAGACTTTATGCCGCAGGCAAAAGTCTAGCTACACTTGTATTTACACTGGAATAGGATTGAATCAATACCAAAATTTTGGCTTTAGAAAGATATAAGCCTCTGGCACCTAGCTATCAATACTAAATCAATGCCCAAAGAGTTTGTCAAACTTTTTAATGCCATGGTCCCCTAAATATTATGATCCCCCTTGGGACCCCTTCATAAAATATAAAAGACAGCTATATTTCATGTATAAAGACAGAATTTAAATTGTGATAAATTAAATATATGTTAATGTATTTGGAAAGTATTAATTCTATTAATGTTGTGAATAGAATAAATTAGTTTCATGGTTTCTGACTAGTTCTTAAATTTAAAATTATTATTATAGTTAGATTTGTACCTAATTTTTCCTCTACATTTTTCTATGGGCTTCTTAACACTCCTTTGCAGTCCCTTTGGGATCCCATACCTTAAGTTATTGTTTATGCGTATATATAAAAATGAAACATAGTCCTGGCCTTCTCTATATAAAACAACAGTAAAAATAATATCAATTACTATTATTATTATATTTAAAAATAATGTTAAGTATATTAATTCAATAATCATTTAAACAAAAATAATAAAGTATATAACAGTGTGTTGTTATAGAAAACAACAACAATGGTAATAATAAAAAAATATTATTATTATTATCTACACCTGATGCATATGAGTTACGTAATCCTTATATAGCTTGTTCTGTTACAAAATGCTTGGTTGGATTTGTCAAATAGCTTTGAAGACTTTGTAATTATGTAGTGTAGTCCTAATTCTGATTTATGAACCATTCAAACTCCATTAATATATTTAACTTCATCATATTCTGTCTTGTAAACAGTGACGAATGTATTTAGATCATCAGATTTCTACACAGCAGGGATAAACGACTCTTTATCTCTGCGTTTGTAAGCTCATTTAGTCTTATTAAAGTTCAGAGCTTGTTCTCTGTAGCCCTTTGTAGGAAAAACGAGCTGCGGCTGTCAGATGCAGAGTCCCTGAGCACACGCCGAGCGCCTGTGCTTGCGACGCTGCAGTTAAGTACGTGATCCGCTGAGGAAAAAAGGGCATTTTCAACACTGACATTTACGTGGATTAATAATAAATATCTCATTAAATGAAAAACATCTCTTCAGTGGCCTTGTGTTGACAAATTAATCTTTTGTCAACATTTTCCATGCTTCACATCACACTGTGTGAACTGGAGAATTGTGTTGTATAACAGGCAGGGACGCGGGAAGTAGGGGTGCTGAGGGGGCTGCAGCACCCCCTGTTTTCACATGGTTGCAAATGCAACGCCAAGTTTGTTCATTTAAATTTATTCAGTTTTAGCATTTAATAATTTATTTGTAATGATCTCTGAAATGTAAATTGTAAACATCTTCCCGCGCCCCTGATAACAGGTACCGAAATTTACGGATTTATATCGTACCCTTGTAATTTTTAACATATTCATGTTATTTTTAATGTAAAAGTGGGCATATTACCTTAAATGTCGGAGGCTTTCATTGTGAGTGGTTTCCAGCTATTTTGGTTATAAAAAAACAGATGCATTGAAATTAAAATTCTGGGCTGAAACAGAAACCAAATATTCAGGATGCACTTGGTTGAAAACCGAAACCGAAAATAACGTATTTTTAAATATTTTTAAATACTTTGTATAAATGATTGTATTAATATTAGACTTTTTAATTTCTTTAAATTTCTTGAATTTGAACTGGAAAAACTACAAACTAGGGCTGTCACAATTTCAGTTTTTTCACAAAACGTTTATCGTGGGCTCAAAAATTCACGTTAACGATAAATTGTGATATCAAGAGAAATTTTGAAAAATTAAAAAAATCATGCTATCAGTCAAATTAATCTTTATTTATTTATTTATTTTACCAATAAATCACACCATTGCGTACAAAAGGAACAATTACACTAAACAGAAGAGACTAAAATGCTAACCGTTGTTAGTTTAGCACAGTCAAAGTAAGACAACTTATGAGAATAACTCATTACTCCAAACTTACTTTATAGCATCATTCAAGTGTTTGAAATAACTTCCTTCTGTGAACGGATTTTTATTTTATAGTATTCTATACAGTGATAAAGTCTATGTCAATTAACAGTGCAATATAAATATACATTATCCATATGAAAATACCTGAGATGGCTTGAAGAATGCAGATAAACCATATACTGTTGTAGTCGTGTACATATTCTCATCATGCAAAACTGTCACCATAGCTCAGTAAATAATGCACTTTATTCAGCTACAGTGACAGCTGGATGCCTTTGTCCATATAAGGGATTTCCTGGAATTAGTTTTATTACTTTTATGAGTCTGGCTTGTGGTCTTTCTGCACGAGGTTGCCCTCTGGTGTCGAGTATGAATGAAACAAATCACACGTGAGAGTTTAACGCTTCATAATGGCATTGGCGCTAGATTGTTTGTATCGTATTGTATCATATGTGTACTATTCATTTTTAAATATCGCCAATACCAGTATATTGCGACACTCCTAATTAACATGATATTGATATTTCATTATTTGAATATCACGATTATTGTCAATACCGGTATAATGCGACACCCTTATTATAAACCAATAAAATAATCACACTTCGAATTTTTATTGAAAGTATCGCATCAAATTGGACAAAATATTTTAGAACAAACTTAGATATATTATTCTCCATACACTTCTTACCTGTAGAATCTCATCAAACACATTAGAAATCGAGGCAGTGTGTGACTCGTCACTTGTACGTTACCGTTTCATATATTTTCGGTCAAAAACCGATGATGCCATTTTTGGCTGAAAATTCGATGCATCCCTAAAAACAGGCCATTATGTTCCATGATAGTGCAAACTGGTTTGTTGTGTTTTACTGTTAACTGCATTTTGTTATTGTTCTAGTTATTTACCAGTTAATGAATTGGAAGTTTCAAACATTTACAGGAAATAGCTTACTGCAGTGTTAAAAAAATATGGATATCTGTATATCGCGCAACCTACACTGGGAATAAATGTTGATTCTCATGCAAGACATTCGCATATTTAAATACTTTTTAAAGAAGAAATACATCCAGAAAGATTAAACAAAAACATCTTTGCGACACAAAATAAAAAAATAAACTAAACAATCTTGTAAGAGGGGACTAGAGAGACCAAAATAACACTGTTTTCACAAATGGCACTTTTCATTCCCACTGCAAACATGGGCGGGTCCCTATTACGGTTTTCTTTTTTCCTTTCTCTTTCATTCTTTTCATCTATATTCAGCAAAATTTTGTGTATAGTGTGTGTGTGGTCTTTTCTAGCCTGTTCAATACCTCCGCCTCAAATAATGGAAATGGCACGGTTCTCTTTCCGCCCACAGTTCAGCAGTGCGTTCACTGGCTGCCCGTGTCCACCGGTCTAAGAGCGGCCATGTGCTTTCTCTGATAATGTTTAGTCTGAACAGTTGGTCCTAGATCAGAGCACCACATCACACCACAGGACATTTCATCAGGAGAGACCACAAAGAATGGGAGTCAGAAAATCAAAGGCTTGTCAGCTTTTAGAGGACAATGTCATTTCTTTCCTATAAAAACATTGCGGCCCCCCGTCGCACAGATGTGAGACCGAGAAACAAAGTGAAATCTGTAAACGGCACAAGTCGATAAGGGGGCTCTGGGCTGACCTGATCATGTGTGACCCCCTGTCGGGCGCATCAGTGGTTTCCATGGCGACCGAGTGTCTGCGAGTTGACTTCTGCTTCCACAGTCGATGGCTCTCTCTCTCTCGTTCTCTGTAATGTCATACCTTAAATGGGGATGACTAATTACTAGAGTTAATTAATTTAACGTGTGTTTGCATGCATATGAGGTATTTGCCTTACTTGGAGTTTAAGTGATCGCATTTTTGTGAGTGTGTGACAAAGATGGAGAGTGTGTGTGCACGCACGAGTGTGTGTGTGTGTGTGTGTGTGCATGCCTGCCCATGCAGACTTGGCTAATCCCTGATCGTGAGATGGCAGAGAATATGCTGGATTTCTTAAGGTTGCCTTCGTTCCATGTCAATAAATAATGCCAAAACTCTCTCTCTCTCTTTCACACACACACACAGTTTGTAACATCAGTTCTCCATTTACATTCTGTTTCCAGTATGAACAAAATGTCATTTTCTGTTCATAAATGTCCCATGTCTCCATCAGTCCTAAACATGCCGGAACATTCTCTTGATATTCGGCAGCAGACAAAGCCACTGCTTTTAGCCCGAATGGAAATATGTTAATGTGTGCATGCAATTAGGTGAAAAAGAGATAAAAAGAGAGCGAGAGAGAGAGAGAGTCTGAAAATATGGATTGCTTAATGTGTATGCATTGCAATTAGAAGAGAGGGAACGAAAGGGACAGCGTGAAAGAGAGAGGAAGTTCTGAAACCTCGCTCCCTCCTTCTCTTATTAACATTATTTCGTGCATAAAATCTGCATGTGAACAAAAGGGATGAACAGAAAGCAGCAGCAGAAGCGGTGGACGTCGCAAAGCGTGAAATTTCCAGTAAATCCTATAAAGCATTTATTTAGCTCTTCCTCCCCTTAGAATACATTACATCTTGTGATTGTTTCAGTCGCTCTACATGCTGGATTTTGCAGTGCTTGTATCATCTGGCTTTCCACAGAAAGGGACCAGAATGT